ATATTTGAGAGAGATATATTTGAATATCTTGTTTGATACATCTTCTCAAACATCTTCAGGAGAAGGATCTGAGATTATAAGGCAGTTTCCCATTTTTTCGGATAGCGGAAACACAAAGGGGAAGATTGATTTACAGATAATTCATCACAGGAAACTTGAAGTCATGGGTTATATATATATTTGCAGTATCTTGGTGTCAAATGACTTAAGACTCTATCAAGAATATAGAAGAAAGAGGATAAATGTAAAGCATATTCTTCATTGTGAATTACAAAAACGAAAACCTAAACGTAGAAGTCAAAACTGATCGATGCAATGGAAAGTGTCGTGCAAGGATTTATGCTAAATGTGTATAAATTTATATTATCCTTCTATGTTCTTTTTTCTGCAATTTACATATTGTGCAAGGTAGCACTTGGAATTTTGATGACAAGTGATAACGACTTCGTTACAGTTTATCCAAAAAAAAAAACGTGTTGCTTATTATATATAAATCATATAATATTTATGTAACCATTTGTTACTTCAATTGATAAGAGCAATGAGTCTTCTTCTTTCAATCCTATTTACATGAATATGAAACTCAAACTATATAGTTTTGGGAGCAACTTTTGTCTTTGGATATAATCTTTGGGGTTGCGGAGTTAAGGGAACGGATATGGTTTGCAATATATTTATGTTTGTTGGTGCATGTTACCATGCTTTATATTTTTGTTTGAGTAGTTAAACGTATAATATTTTAGTTGAGATATGTAGCTATGTAACGTCTCTACTTCGTACCAACCATTTTTCCAGAAAACCATAATTGATCTATTTGATTAAACTCATAAATTAATAGTCATAGTACAAAAACAAAACATTATGGGCATTGAGGGTTACGTCCTGGTCCTCCATAGAAAAAGTAAGTTCCCCACCTCTGGCTAGAGCCAACCTTGAGGTTATAACATTCAGGCCGAGTCACGGCAGCTTGAAGAATTTCTGGAGAGGGTGTGATGGGATAGTTATATGCACCAATGTACTCTAAGCTATTGAAATAAGCCGCTTTCTTAAACCCTTTCTCTGCGAAATGGCCACTCCCCATCTGCGTAAGCGTGTGTGTCCCACGGCCTCTAGCATAATACACAATTTCACCTCCCCATGCGATCTTTCGTGCTGAGTTTGCTAGCTTCGGGACTATTAAGCTTGGCCAATACCCGACTAGATATGTCTCAAACTTGAGCCACCAAAGTCCAGTAATTTGTTCCTAAAACGTATTTTAACATTAATTAAGAGATGACACTCTTTGTGAAAATATTAGTTGGGCTTGTTCATAAACTATACCTTCTCGATTGTTAGTTGAAAATCATATTGGTCACCATTGTAGGTCGAGATAGTGTTTAGAGATGCACCAAGGGAAATATCTCTGTTCACTTGAACAAAGCCAGGGCAGTACAGATTATAGCAGCCGGTTTCTTGGTATGTATCACGCTATACGTTTTTTTTGTTGGTAAAAAGATGTTAGTAAAATCTTCAATCCATTAATTTTTTAAGTTTGATAAGAAAAATTAGGAAACTTGCCGTCCAATAGGCAAAAAGTCTTGGATTCTTGTCACCATACAAGACATGTAGAATCTATTACGAAGTGTAAAAAAAAAATGGTTAGAACTATTAGGAATTCCAAATTTGTTAGAATGAGTATTTTATCCACTTATTACCAATTCCTTTTGAATTAAAAATCCATTTCGCAAAACGGAAAATGTTAAAAATAAAAAAGTGTGAACACTAGTTAATAGTTTTTTTCTTTAAACCTCACTAGTTAATAGTTAAAGGAACACTAGTTACTACCTGCCAACCAGACTCCAAAGTGTTCAAACCGGTGTCCCAATGTCCATTGACGACCCATGTTTGAGCCAAACTAAACTCTCTCGTTCTTAAAACATTTGGTTTCCATACACTTATACGGCTCTTGCTGCCTTTGAATTCACCATAGTCGACGTACACAGAAGCATGCTACAAATTAAGAAAAGGTCTTATTGAAAATTGCATCTAAATATTTCTTATACTCAAAAATAATAGTTTGGGAAAAGATAGAATAGTATGCGTTTTGGAACTATATCCCACTTATAAGTTTAATATAAGTATGCTATAAAAATGTTTCTTTGAAAGATAAAATAAAGAGCCCAAAATATTTAATTTTAAAAATCAAAGGCCTAAGTTTTTTTTTTTGGCCCCAAGCCTATGTATATACACACCTCATGAAGTTCCTCCGTTTGATCATCGTCGAGGTCAAAAATAGTTGGTAGGCTCTTTCTTCCATAGTTTTTGATGGAATCTGATCTTAAAAGATCATCTCTTGTTGTTCTTCTGATGGGAATAGTGTTCTCAGGACATTCACCTTTTGTGCGCCACAATTGATGTATGGTATCTGTCTTTTTACCTCGAGTCTGGTCCCTTACCGAGTAACTTTTCGGCCTCATCTTTTTGAAAGAAAGAAACAACACATGAAATGTTAGAGTAATGTGAATCTAAAGGTGGAAAGAAATCGAAAAAGTATATTACAAAACCTGAATGGTGTGGTTTTTTAGTAAAGGATGATCAAAAGCCGGTTGGTCGTAGATCCATACACAATCAATTATATCTCCATCTGGACTCTATTTGATGTGAAAAATGAACATAAGAATATAAAAGGAGTTAGCCAAAATAAGATTTGGAAACAGTAATAAAGTTTTGGTAAATGTTTTTGTGAATACATGGATGGATCTAATAGCGGGTTTGTTGAGTTTTTTCAACCGTAATTCAATTTTCTGCTCATGGAGATCGGAAACTCTATTCTTTCCGGCCAAAGTTCCGACTACGATTGGTATGGTCACCAAAAGAAGGACGAAAATCGCGGTCTGATTAACCATCATTTATTAATTAAAGCGGGGTAATACGATTAGTACACAAATTAGTAGTATGCCTTAAACTTTTGAAAACAATTAATGTTTGAAGATAGTTGGGACATAATATATATGGGTCAAAGGTGTTGTGTACTTAATGCTTATGTGTGATATAATGTAAGCTTGTAAGAAATACAAAATTAAACTTTTTTATTTCATAAATGAAAATAGCCTAAAATTTTTTTTTTAAATAGGAAAAAATAACAAAATTTCTGTCCTATAGAGAAATAAATAAATATTTTGTGCTAATCTAAATGTTTCAATAGATTTGTAAATTAGTTTTAGAAATTAAATTCTTGAGAATTAATTTAATTAACAAAAAGACTAGTTTAAATATTTCATCCACTAATAACTATATTAATCACATAAAACACATAAGTTGATCTATAAATAACTACATTTATTAATAGC